TATCACACCACCACACCACCACACCAATTATCACACCAAAAAACACCACCACCAAATATCACACCCCACCACCACCCACCAATTTTCACAACACCACCACACCAATTATCACACCACCACCACACACCAACTATCCACAAACCCCCACCACCAACTAAACACACCACCACACCAACTATCACACCACCACCACACCAACTATCACACCAACCACACACCAACTATACACCACCACCACCACCACACCAACTATCACACCACACCACCACACCAACTATCACACCACCACCACACAACTATCCACCACACCAACTATCACCACCACCACTAACACCAACTTACACCACAAACCACACCAGCGTCACACCTCCACACCTTCAAACCACCACCAAACCCCACCAAATGTCACAACCACCACCACCACGACAACTGTAACACCACCACCACCACACAAACTGTCACCACAAAAAGCTATCACACCACACACAATTATCAAAACCAAACCCCCACCAATGTAAAACCAAAGGGTTTTTTTTAAACAAAAATAAATAAAAAAAACAATCAAACCAACAAAATGTAAAAAAAAGTAAAACAAAAATTTCAACCAAAAAATTAAAACAAAAATGTAAAAAAAACTGTACACCAAACCCAAATGAAAAAAAAATTTTAACCAAAAAAAATAAACACAAAAAAAATAATACAAAAAAACCCAAATGTCAAAAAAAATTAAACAAAAAAAAAACTGTAAAATTAAAAAAAATTAACACAAAAATTGTAAAACACCAATGTAACCACACAAACTATACACACACCAAAAAAACTATCACCAATTAAATAAAAAAAATCACAATAAAAACACCAACCAACTATCACACCACCACCAACCCAAATAGCACACAACCACCACAAACCCAAATATCACAACCAAACAACCCCCACCACAAACAAATACACACCACCACACCAACTATCACACCACCAACACCAACTATCACACACCACCAACCAACTATCACACACCACCAACAACTATCACACCACCACCTCACCAACTATCACCCACCACCAAACCCAAATATCACACCACCACCCACCAACAAACACAAACCCCCACACAAACCCAAATATCACACCACCACCACACCAATAAAAACACACAACCAACACACACCACCCCAACCAACTATCACACCCCCACCCCACCAACTTCACACCACCACCACACCAACTGAAAACAAAATCCACCACCACACCAACTGTCACACCACCACACCCAAAATGTCACAACACCACACACCAACTGACAAAAACACACTGCACACCACCCCCAACTATCAAAAACCACCACCACACCAACTATCACACCAACACCCCACCAACTTATCACACCACCACCACACCAACATCACATACCACCACCACACCAACTATCACAAACCCCCACACACACTATCACACACCACCACACCAACTTTCACAAACACCAATATAACACCACCACAAACCCAACTATCAACCACCACACAACCAACATTTACAACCAAACACCACACCAACTTCACACCACCACCACACCAACTGTACACACCCAACCAAAAACCAACTTCACAAACCCCCACCACACCAACTGTCACAACCACCACAAACTTATCACACCAACCACCAAACCAACTATCACACACCAACCACACAACTTCACAAACCACCACCACACCAACTGTAAACAAAAACCAACCACCACACAACTATCACACACCACCACACCAACTGTACCACAAACAATTACCACACACACCAACTATCAATCACACCACACACCAAACTTCACACCACCACAACCAACATCACAAAACCCAAACCCCCCTACCCCACAACAAAAACAACCAACCACCACACAACTAATCAACAAAACCAAACCCCCACACCAACTATCACACACCACCACACCAACTATCACAAACCCCCACACAAAACCCAAATATCACAACACCACCACAAACCCAAATATCACAACCGGGAACAAAATTAAAAATTAAAAAAAAAAAATAAACCAAAAAAATTTAAAAAAAAACAATAAAATATAAAACAAAATAATAAAAAAAAATATAAAAAAAAATAAAAAACAAATATACCCCAAAAATATCAAAAAACAAATATAAAAAAATAAAAAAAATATACAACAAAAAAAAAAAAAATTAAAAAAAAATATAAAAAAAAAATATAACCAAAAAAAAATATAAAAAAAAAATAAAAAAAAAAAAAAAAAATTTTAAACCCAAAAAACTATAAAAATAAATATCAAAAAATTTTTTAAATATAAAAAAATATAAACCCAGGACCAAAATAATAAAAAACAATATCAAAAAAATAAACAAAACAATATAAAACAAACAAAAAAACACAAAAATAAAAAAAAAATAAAAAAACACAATATACAAAAAATATCACAACCAAACCAATATTCAAAAACCACTATAACCAACCCCAAACAATATAATCAACAAAACTATAAACACCACCAACAACTAACAAAAACAACAAACCCAAAATACACACCAACAACCAAAAATATCACACCACCAAAACACAACTATCACACCACCACACACCCCAAAAACACACAATATCACACCAACCCCCAAAAACCAACTATCACACCACCAACACCAACTATCACAAACCCCCACCACACCAAAATCACAACCCCCCCCAACTATCAAAAACCACCCCAAACCAACCAAAACCCACCAACACCAACTATCCAAACCACCACCACACCAACTCAACCAAAACCACCCCCACACATCAACACCACCACAAATTTCACACCAACCCCCCACCCAACAACCACCACCCCCAACCCCCCACACCACCACCACACCAAAAAACACCACCACCCACCCAACTTTCCCAAAACCCCCACCACAACCAACTATCCAAACCACCCCCCCCAACAATCTCACCCCCAAAAACACCAACTATCACAAAACCCAACCCCCCACCCCCAAATTCACACCACCCCACACCACAAACACACCACCAAAACCAAAACACAACCTCCACCACAACCAAAATTTACCCAAACCACCCACCCCTCACACCCCCACCACACCAACTACCAACCACCACCACAACCCAAATATCCACCCCACCACACCCAAAAATTTCCCCCCAAAAAAACCACCCAACACACACCACCACCACCCAAAAATTCCACCACCACCCCAAAAAACTTCACCCACCACCACACCAACTATCCACCACCACCCCACCCCAACTTCACCCACCACCCCCCCCAACCAACCACCCCCACACCAAAACCCCAAAAACTTAAAAAAAAAATTTCAACCCCCCACCACCCATCACACCCCCACCACAAACATCAACCACCACCACACCAAAATACACCCACCCCCCCAAACCAAACACACACCACCACCCCACCAACATCACACCACCACCCCACCAAATACACACCCCCACCACACCAACTATCACACCACCACCACACCAACAAAAAAAACCACCACCACACCAACACACACCACCACCACACCAATTAAAAACCACCACCACACCAACAACACACCAACCCAACATCACACCACCACCAACCAACTACACACCACCACCCAAACCCAATATCACACCACCCCCAACCAAAAATACACCCCCACCACACCAACAACCCCCACCCCCCCCCAAAATCAACACCCCCCCACCAACCCAAACCCCCCTCACACCCAACACCAACCCCCTCACACCACCACCACCCAACTACACACCACCCCCCCACACCAACTACACCCACCCCCACACCCAAATTCACACCACCACCCCAACCCCATCACAAACCACCACACCAACTACACACCACCACCCAACAAAATCACACCACCACCACACCAACTATCACACCACCAACCACCCAACCACACACCACCCCCACACCCATCAAACCACCCCCACCACCATCCACCACCACCACACCCAAATACACACCACCACCACACCAACAAAACCCCCCCACCCCCCCCACCACACCCTTCCCCAACCCACCACAACCAACAACACCAAACCCCCACACCAAAAATCACACCCCCACCCCAAAAACTTCCAACCCCAAAACAAAAACAAACCAATAAACAACCCCCTTTTTTTTTTTTTTTTTTTTTTTTCCCCCCCCTTTTTTACTCCCAAAAATTTCCCCCCCCCCAAAAAACCCCTACAAAAACCCAAAATATCATCAACCACCCCCCATAAACAATATACAAAAAACTAACAACACCAACACCCTCCCCCCCCAAAACCACTTCCAACCACAAAACAAACTATTTTAAAACCCCAAAAAAAAAATTTTTTTTTTCAAAAAAAAACCCAAAAATAAAAAAAAAATTTTATTTAAAAAATTTTTTTTTTTTTTAAAAAAATTTTTACACCACCACCACACCAACTATCACACCACCACCACACCATCACACCACCACCACACCAACTATCACACCACCACCACACCAACTATCACACCACCACCACACCAACTATCACACCACCACCACACCAACTATCACACCACCACCACACCAACTATCACACCACCACACCAACTATCACAACCTTCAAAACAATGATTTCGTAACTGCTGAGGTAAACAATGGCCGCTGTGTGTGTGTGTGTGTGTGTGTGTGTGTGTGTGTGTGTGTGTGTGTGTGTGTGTGTGTGTGTGTGTGCGTGTGGGCGCGTGTGTGCGGGTGTGGGTGTGCGTGTACTTGCCTATATGTTGTTGCAGGGGTCTATTCACGGTTCCCGTCCCCTCAGTTTTTAAAAACCAGCTACACTGATTTTTTACCTGCAAGGACATATCTACTCTTGAAACTGTGTACGGTGTTTGCCTCCCTAGTAGATACAAGGTATACTTTGTAAGGTTATTTGAATGTAGTCTAACATATCAGTGTTGTGTTGTTTTCTTAACATTGTTTTCTCTGTCTCTCCGTGTGCAGGGTTATGAAGGCTCACTGCTCAAAGTCACCAGCAAGAACGGTAAAACTGCTTCGGTAAGTGAACTTCCCATTGTTTGAACACTGTGTGTGCTAGTTACTATTTTGTCTTAGTTACATGATGTAGTTGTGGATGAGGTGTGTGTGTGTAGATGTGTAGTTGTGGATGAGGTGTCTGTGTGTGTGTAGTTATGGATGAGTGTGTGTGTGTGTGTAGATGTGTAGTTGTGGATGAGGTGTGTGTGTGTAGATGTGTAGTTGTGGAGGAGGTGTGTGTGTGTAGATGTGTAGTTGTGGATGATGTGTGTGTGTGTATTTGTGGGTGAGGGGTGTGTGTGTGTGGATGTATAGTTGTGGGTGAGGTGTGTGTAGTTGTAGGTGAGTGTGTGTGGGTGGAAGTGTAGTTGTGGTTGAGGTGTGTGGGGGTGGATGTATAGTTGTTGTTGAGGTGTGTGAGGGGTGGATGTATAGTTGTGGATGAGGTGTATGTGTAGTTGTGGGTGAGGTGTATGTGGGTGGATGTGTAGTTGTAGGTGAAGTGTGTAGGGTGGATGAGGTGTGTGTGGTTGTGGGTGTAGTTGTGGGTGAGGTGTATGCTGGTGGATGTGTAGTTGTGGGTGGATATGTAGTCGTGGGTGAGGTGTATGTTGGTGGATGTGTAGTTGTGAGTTGTATGCTGGGGTATATGTAGTTGTGGGTGAAGTGTGGGGGGGATGTGTAGTTGTGGGTCATGTGTGGGGGGGGGATGTGTAGTTGTGGGTCATGTGTGTGGGAGCAAATATATAGAAATCCTCAGATTATACTCCAGTTAAATTGAGAATCTTTGGTAAAGCCTCATTCAGATTATTGTGCTGAGGTCTGCCTCTGCATGTTGCAGGAGGGATATAAATGCGCTGGAAAATAATCATAGCAGGATGAAGTTGATTCCTAACTCTTGCAGGTGAACTGTTGGTTACAATTACGACCATAATTTTTAAAGGGGTGAACCGGTAAGCAAGGGAAAGGCCTCCGTCAGATGATCAAAAGCTCCAGTTGTGGGTCATCATATGGTAGACTCCCGTCAGGAAACACTTCTCCTGTTGTGAGCGATCACTGATAATAGTGAACACTGGTGGATCACTAGTAGGAGTAGTGAACGCTGGTGGATCACTAGTAGGAGTAGTGAACACTGGTGGATCACTAGTAGGAGTAGTGAACTGGTGGATCACTAGTAGGAGTAGTGAACGCTGGTGGATCACTAGTAGGAGTAGTGAACACTGGTGGATCACTAGTAGGAGTAGTGAACACTGGTGGATCACTAGTAGGAGTAGTGAACACTGGTGGATCACTAGTAGGAGTAGTGAACGCTGGTGGATCACTAGTAGGAGTAGTGAACACTGGTGGATCACTAGTAGGAGTAGTGAACGCTGGTGGATCACTAGTAGGAGTAGTGAACGCTGGTGGATCACTAGTAGGAGTAGTGAACGCTGGTGGATCACTAGTAGGAGTAGTGAACACTGGTGGATCACTAGTAGGAGTAGTGAACACTGGTGGATCACTAGTAGGAGTAGTGAACACTGGTGGATCACTAGTAGGAGTAGTGAACACTGGTGGATCACTAGTAGGAGTAGTGAACGCTGGTGGATCACTAGTAGGAGTAGTGAACGCTGGTGGATCACTAGTAGGAGTAGTGAACGCTGGTGGATCACTAGTAGGAGAGTTAGTGAACGCTGGTGATCACTAGTAGGAGTAGTGAACGCTGGTGGATCACTAGTAGGAGTAGTGAACCTGGTGGATCACTAGTAGGAGTAGTGAACGTGGTGGATCACTAGTAGGAGTAGTGAACGCTGGTGTGATCACTAGTAGGAGTAGTGAACGCTGGTGGATCACTAGTAGGAGTAGTGAACGCTGGTGGATCACTAGTAGGAGTAGTGAACGCTGGTGGATCACTAGTAGGAGTAGTGAACGCTGGTGGATCACTAGTAGGAGTAGTGAACGCTGGTGGATCACTAGTAGGAGTAGTGAACACTGGTGGATCACTAGTAGGAGTAGTGAACACTGGTGGATCACTAGTAGGAGTAGTGATCACTGGTGGATCACTAGTGAGAGTAGTGGACTCTGGTGGATCACTAGAGAGAGTAGTGGACACTGGTGGATCACTAGTGAGAGTAGTGGGCACTTTAGTGAGAGTAGTGGACACTGGTGGATCACTAGTGAGAGTAGTGGACACTGGTGGATCACTAGTGAGAGTAGTGGACACTGGTGGATCACTAGTGGAGAGTAGTGGACACTGGTGGATCACTAGTGAGAGAAATGTGGACACTGTGGAGAGACGGTCACTAGTGAGAGTAGTGGACACTGGTGGATCACTAGTGAGAGTAGTGGACACTGGTGGATCACTAGTGAGAGTAGTGGACACTGGTGGATCACTAGTGAGAGTAGTGGACACTGGTGGATCACTAGTGAGAGTAGTGGACATTGGTGGATCACTAGTGAGAGTAGTGGACACTGGTGGATCACTAGTGAGAGTAGTGGAAGGAACACTGTGCACGAGAGGAGGGTGGAGAAACACTGTGCGCAAGATGAGGGTGGAGGGACACTGTGCACGAGAGAGAGTGGACGACACTGTGCACAAGGAGAGTGAGTGAACACTGGTGCACTAAGATGAGGTGTGGACGAACACATGCACGAGAGTGGAGACACTGTGGTCACAGAGAGAGGTGGAAGGAACACTGTGCACGAGAGGAGGGTGGAGGAACACTGTGCGCAAGATGAGGGTGGAGGAACACTGTGCACGAGAGGAGGGTGGACGAACACTGTGCACAAGAGGAGAGTGGAGGAACACTGTGCACAAGAGGAGGGTGGAGGAACACTGTGCACAAGAGGAGGGTGGAGGAACACTGTGCACGGGAGGAGGGTGGAGGAACACTGTGCACGGGAGGAGGGTGGAGAAACACTGCACGAGAGTGGAGGAACACTGCACGAGAGGAGGGTGGAGGAACACTGCACGAGAGGAGGTGGAGGAACACTGTGCACAAGGAGGAGGTGGAGGAACACTGTGCACGAGAGGAGGGTGGAGGAACACTGTGCACGAGAGGAGGAGGGTGGAGGAACACTGTGCACGGAGGAGGGTGAGGACACACTGTGGCACGCGAGAGGAGGGTGGAGGAACACTGCACGAGAGGAGGGTGGAGGAACACTGTGCACGAGAGGAGGGTGGAGGAACACTGTGCACGAGAGGAGGGTGGAGGAACACTGTGCACGAGAGGAGGGTGGAGGAACACTGTGCACGAGAGGAGGGTGGAGGAACACTGTGCACGGGAGGAGGGTGGAGGAACCTGTGCACGGAGGAGGTGGAAGGAACACTGTGCACGAGAGGAGGGTGGAGGAACACTGTGCACGAGAGGAGGTGGAGAGAACACTGTGCACGGGAGGAGGGTGGAGGAACACTGTGCACGAGAGGAGGGTGGAGGAACACTGTGCACGAGAGGAGGGTGGAGGAACACTGTGCACGAGAGGAGGGTGGAGGAACACTGTGCACGAGAGGAGGGTGAGGAACACTGTGCACGAGAGGAGGGTGGAGGAACACTGTGCACGGAGAGGAGGGTGGAGGAACACTGTGCACGGAGGAGGGTGGAGGAACACTGTGCACAGGGAGGAGGTGGAGGAACACTGTGCACGAGAGGAGGTGGAGGAACACTGTGCACGAGAGGAGGGTGGAGGAACACTGTGCACGAGAGGAGGGTGGAGGAACACTGTGCACGGAGAGGGTGGAGGAACACTGTGCACGAGAGGAGGGTGGAGGAACACTGTGCACGAGAGGAGGGTGGAGGAACACTGTGCACGAGAGGAGGGTGGAGGAACACTGTGCACGAGAGGAGGGTGGAGGAACACTGTGCACGGGAGGAGGGTGGAGGAACACTGTGCACGAGAGGAGGGTGGAGGAACACTGTGCACGAGAGGAGGGTGGAGGAACACTGTGCACGAGAGGAGGGTGGAGGAACACTGTGCACGGAGGAGGGTGGAGGAAACACTGTGCACGAGAGGAGGGTGGAGGAACACTGTGCACGAGAGGAGGGTGGAGGAACACTGTGCACGAGAGGAGGGTGGAGGAACACTGTGCACGAGAGGAGGGTGGAGGAACACTGTGCACGGGAGGAGGTGGAGGAACACTGTGCACGGAGAGGAGGGTGGGGAACACTGTGCACGAGAGGAGGGTGGAGGAACACTGTGCACGAGAGGAGCGTGGAGGAACACTGTGCACGAGAGGAGGGTGGAGGAACACTGCACGAGAGGAGGGTGGAGGAACACTGTGCACGAGAGTAGCGTGGAGGGAACACTGCACGAGAGGAGCGTGGAGGGAACACTGCACGAGAGGAGCTTGGAGGGAACACTGCACGAGAGGAGCGTGGAGGGAACACTGTGCACGAGAGGAGCGTGGAGGAACACTGTGCACGAGAGGAGGGTGGAGGAACACTGTGCACGAGAGTGACGTGGAGGGAACACTGTGCACGAGAGGAGCGTGGAGGGGAAAACTGTGCACGAGAGGAGCTTGGAGGGAACACTGCACGAGAGGAGCGTGGAGGGAACACTGTGCACGAGAGGAGCGTGGAGGGAACACTGTGCACGAGAGGAGCGTGGAGGGAACACTGTGCACGAGAGGAGCGTGGAGGGAACACTGTGCACGAGAGGAGCATGGAAGAACACTGTGCACGAGAGTAGCGTGGAGGGAACACTGCACGAAGAGGGCGTGGAGGGAAACACTTGCACGAGAGGGGCGTGGAGGAGACATTGCAAGAGGAGCGTGGAGGGAACACTGTGCACAGAGGAGCGTGGAGGAAGACTGTGCACGAGAGGAGCGTGGAGAAAGACTGTGCGCGAGAGGAGAGGTGGAGGGAACACTGTGCACAGAGGAGCGTGGAGGGAACGACTGGAGCACGAGGAGCGTGGAGGGAACACTGTGCACGAAAGGGAGCGTGAAGGGAACACTGTGCACGAGAGAGCGTGAAGGGAAGCACTGTGCACGAGAGGAGCGTGGAGGGAACACTGTGCCGAGAGGAGCGTGGAGGGAACACTGT